CACACACACACACACACACACACACACACACACACACACACACACACGGCAGCGGCTGGAATCCCCTCCCCTGAGCCCACCTTGAAGACCACTGCCCTAGGCCACATTCTATCCTTCTGAAGCCAGCAGTGTTCCAGCAAGATTTTGAACCTTTAGCCTCTCTGACTTGAGGATTTTCTTCTTTATCTCTTTGGCCATAGTAGCTATCTATAGTCCACACAGTGGTTTCCCTGCAAATTGATTTTTGAATTGGGTTTTGGCCCCCGGATTAGATGCATTGCTCTTGTTGCAGCTTGGTGATAGCTGATTCTCTTCCTGTTTCAGTGGCGGGACCACTGGATGCAGTGTGTGTACTTCCTGCCAGAAGAGGAGCCTGTTGTCCAGGGCTCAGCCCTCTGCCTGGTAGCCCACCACGACGACTACTGTGTGTGGTACAGCCTCCAGAGGACCAGGTGTGCCCCAAGCCTCATTGGGTGGGGCATTAGGCTTGTGACACTGTGCCTTTATATAAATTCCCTGTCCGGACCCTGTAGAGGTTTGAGTGGGCACATTTGTATCTGAACAGAATAAGAGCGAAAGTTTGTGACTGGGTATTTCAGTGCCTGTTTGTGTGTACTCTGAAGAGGCTGCCCCAGTGGCAGGACCCCCATTTGGAGCAGATATATATGAGAAGCCTTGAATTGGAGGGCCCTCCGACCTCTAATGCCCACTCCACAGCCAGTGCCTAGACTCCTGCCCCCTAGAGGACCATGCGTGTGTCCCCTCTCCATCTCGATTTCCCTGGGGCAGGTCCCTGTGCCGTCCCTTCATGCTCGCTGGTGCCTAGCAGGTCATCACCCTGTGTCTGTTCATTTCCTGGCCCAGCCCCGAAAAGGATGGGAGAGCCCACCCAGCACGCCCTGTGTGTGACTGCCAGGCTCACCTGCTCTGGAACCGGCCTCGGTTTGGAGAGATCAATGATCAGAACAGAACTGATCAATACGTCCAGGCCCTGAGGACGGTAAGTGTCCAGCCCCTTAGGTGGTTGTAGGCCAGGAGGGGTTTGTCCCATGGACCCGACCGAGCTCATTGCTCACTTATGATTAGCTGGTTTTGTTTTCTGTGCTCCCTTCTCTGTCCATGAGTGGCTTCAGCCGGCTCCTTCTGAGTGGGCATTTGGGCAGAGGCCAGGGAGCTTATTTCTGGACTAACTGAGGGCTTGTTCTCTGCTCTTCTATGGGAGCCTCTCCCTGGCCCCTGCCTTACCTCTGGACACTTTGCCTTTATGGTCACC